TGTTTGCTCGATACTTACCGTATTCTGAAGGACTTGACCCCCCACCCCCCCACTTCCGACAGATGGTTTTTTTGCAGGTGGGATATGGGGGGGAGTTGAAGTCCACTCATCTTAAAGTGGCCAAGTTTGGACAACACTGGACTAGACAGAGCTCTGAAGATCGACCTTGGATTTCCTGGTGCAACATTTTGCTTTTGTGCCACCTAGAAAAGGTATTGCTCTAAGCTCAGAAATAATTAGGGCTAAAAATATAAGGACACAGAAAGGTGCTTTTTATCAATGAGTGATTGTCAGTCCCTTTGGCCCAGCATTATCATGCCAAGTAGCAGGAAATCAACAGTCAGGGGAGAATTTCTCCAATTCTACTTGGAGGTGCTGAGGGCTGGCCTTGTAATCTTTAAGTACCATTCAGCTATGTCCAGGAAACCACTCCATTTGGCCAACCGTTGCTTCTGCTAAAATCCAAACATGTGCAAGATAGGTGGGACTTCCCCATTCCTGGCTAAAATCCTAGGGATTCCAATTGTCTTACCAACTGCTTAGGTTGGGGCTCTAAACCGTTGTTATATACTCCCTTGACTCAGCAAGGACAAGTTAATTAAGTTGTCCGAGAGCCCATACAGAGTAGCTGCATCAGGGATATTCACAGGGTGTGGTCAAAACAGTCAAGTTGGTGGCTGCAATGGTGCAATCAAAACTGTTGCAGCCACCCCCTTGACCGTTTTGACCACACCCTGCAGACCCCCTCGAGCTGCATTACGTGCGAGTGGGACCTTGCACGTCCCCTGGCTTGGACAGTCACAAAGCAATCCGTTTCAGAAGCAACCTGATCAGCCATCTGTCTTCCCTCCAAGGATGCTTCATAATAGTTCATTTTAGCTTTAACTGCACTCGGATCGCTTCCAAAAAAAAATAATAAAAACCCCTCTGGGCAGCAGTCATCCATCACTTTTCCCCTAAGAGCAATTATGGGCTCCGGGTGGAACAGATCCCAAAGGCAGGTTCTTTGCTTTCCAGCATGCAGGCACTGGGCTACCATATCTGAGCTACAATACAAGAGACAGCCGGCAACAAGACAGAGGATGTTCTGACTCCTGCTGCCCCCTAATGGAAGTCCAGATTTCTGCAGCCCAGATCAAGGCCTTCTAAACTGACTTCCTATCTATCCACTTTTTTAATTAAATATTATGTCAAGTGGGAACCTGGTGGGAGCTAAGGAAGATTCTGATAGGAACCCAATTGCCTACTTTTGAACAATGTACTTAATCAATGCTAAACTTTAATCACATAATCTCAACCCAGAAGAAAGCTGAAATTAACAGATAAAAGCTTATTCAACTACTATACGACATCCTGATCGCTTTACATATTCACACTTTTAGAAATGTGTAGAAATGAGGAATTCATTCTATTTCTCTATCCAATTATTTGTTCCAAGATACAGGAGACAGTGGGGGCGGCAGTCATTTCAACAGCCCCATTCAATTTAGCAAATTCCAGTTCCTACTCATAACTGCTATTAAAGTGATCAGTGGCTTTAAACCTTTTTATCTTGCAAAGAAAACTCCCCAAACATCCTCATTAAATACCTATAATAAGCTTTATAAACCCCAGCAGCTCGTTTATTGCAATTATTGTAAGACTCATTCTGGTACAAAATATATCGTCTGCTGCAAAGAACAAATGGATCCATCTGGCTTCTTGCAAAAATTATGGTTCCCTTTTTATGAGATTTTTTTTAAGTTTGAAGAAATCTATTAAATACACTCTCTGTTAGGGGCACATTTCCCTGAAGAAGATGGACCTTACTCTTAAGAATGCACCTACAAGATTGAGCTATCTTTGTATTCTGGAATAATGACACCATCTGCCACATTTAATTTGAGGTTAAATTATTGCACCTTCCTAATTAACACATCTGCCTTCTTTGCATTACAAACCGCGCAATTATTAGAGATGGGGATTTGCAAGTTAATGTAAACCTAGTCTGTTTGGCTGCTACCAGGGGTATCTGTGGGCTGCGGTCAAAAAGGTCAAGATGGCAGCCACAGTGGGGCAATCAAAGCTCTGCCTGTTTTTTATGTGTCTTGGTTTTATCTTGACTTTTTTGACCAAACTCCATCAATACCCTTGGCTGTCACCTTTGCAGGGCAGATTTCCAATTTAGCTCTTTCTCTTCTGGACCATTGAGGAGTAAAGGCTGATTGAACTTACATTCAATCAACTGTACATTCAAGTTGTATGAAGCAGCTAAACATTCTGGCTTTTTTCTTTCCTGGAACGGTAGCTTCATATGTTCACCGCAACTTGGAGTTCGGTTTTGTCTGCATAGCACTCCTTGTAAAGATTGGGCAGTTATTCAGTCCATCAAATTAAGTACAGGCAATCCTTGACTTATGACCATTTGTTTAATGACCGTTCAAAGTTACAATGACATTAAAAAAAGTGACTTATGACCGGTCCTCGCACTTACGACCATCACAGCATCCTCATAGTCATATGATCAAAATTCGGGCAACCGTCACGTATTTATGACAGTTGCAGCATCCCAGGTCACGTGATCGCCATTTGCGACCTTCCCAGGAGGCTTCCAACAAGCAAAGTCAATGGGGGAAGCTGGATTCACTTAATGACCACGTGATTCATTTAACAACCACAGTGATTAGCTTAACAACTGCAGCGAAAAAGGTCATAAAATCAGGCATGACTCATTGACTGCATTGCTTAGTGATGGACCTTCGGGTCCCAATTGTGGTCATAAGTCGAGGACTACCTGTAATTTCATGCAAGGGTGATTACAGTATAGAATGGTGTGCATGTATAGATGCACTCTTTTTATCTACACATGGGGAGCCCATGCTTGGAAACATAAAACCAGCTGTGGCTTGTGATGCTGATGGAAGGAAATGCCAGCCATAAAAATGGAAAAAACAGCTGAAAGGAGTGAAAACCCAACCTCCTTACACTATCCTTTAACTAATCAGCATATCTAATCTCTGAGAACTCATTTTGCAAATGGCATACTTGGAAAAGAAACTGAATTAACCCACTACAAAACTTCTGCCATAGGTTTGCTTGTTATAGGAGCAAACTACCCAATCAGTCAAATGCAATGACTAGAGTATTCTTCACAAATTTATACATGAAATCCAAGGCGTGCTACATACTGTGCACGTGTCCTTATTTTCCTCTTGTGCCATATAAGTAAGGAATTGATTTTAAAAAATATTCAGGAGCAATTCATCCACTTACCTGTTGCTTACAGAATGTAAGGAAAGAGCAGGTCAGATCAGATATATACAGTGCCACTGAAAACTGAGGAGGCTGAAGGATTGCCCCCCCCCCACTTTATACTTTACAAACACTGGGGAGAAAAAAACTAACTGAGGTCAATTACTAAATTAATACAATTGGCAGCTTTCCCTCATTTAGTCTCTTCCCTCATCTAGTCTCAGGATTTTTACAGAATTTCTTTCAGGCCACCTTGAAATCAGTCATTTATTCAGTTGTAACATTTAAGGCATGTCTCCAGACTCAGCTCTGGATCAGAAGAGTTTGAGAGCTCCAGAGGAAAATGCTTGATGGCATGGAAAAAACATTGAGGAATTCAGCGTTAGGGTCATCTGCTAAGCAAGTCGAGAATCTAATGAAATGTCGGTAAATACAGAATGTCAGAAGGCTAGGAAACAAAGGTCGCTGGATGGTTTTAATTTCAGAGGATGATCTTTGGAGAAAGGAATATTTTCTAGGAACTAATTGCCTGTCTGCCGGAGGTGGTTAATCACAGGACTTGCTTTTGATCACACTTGTCATCCCTTTGACTGGAGAGTAAATATCAAATGCCTTTGTTTAAAAGGCTCTCTTTAAACATGGACTGGCAGATACTGTCATGCCCAGCTGCAAGGTGGCAGCTGAAGATGGGGTAAACATACACCAACCTCCTTAGACTTATGGAGACGCTACATGATATAGAGGTCTCACCACAAGCCCAGACTAGGCTTTAATAACTGTTCTTTTATCCGGCAGTGTAATTTTCACAAATTACAGAGATATTTTCATGCATTTCCCCTTCTCTGCTGACCAGTGTAATGCCCCATAAATTAAACAGCTCACAGAACTTCAAGTCCACTGACAAGAATCAGTCCCCTGAGGTGGGTAGAGGAGCGAAAGTAACTTTTCCACAGAATGGCATAAAAATATCTTGCCCTCCCATTATCTTTCAGATGCATTGGATTAATTCCCGACAGCATGGTCAACCAAGTCTTGTTAGACAGCAATATCCATCATCCTCAGTCTGCATGGTGATGATAGACATTGTAGTTGACCATTTCTGGAGAGCTCTGGCTAAGGAAAGACATGTAACCTCGTGGTCATCCAAGGCTATAAACAGCTAAACGCTGCCTGTTGTCCCTGGGTTCGGCTTTTGCACTAAGCTCCAGTTGATTGAATGATTCAACGTTGACTGGATTCACACAACACTAAGCTATAAACCATGATCTATGAACTACAGTGACTAGATTCACATGACACACTCAGACAACCTCAAGCAAACCACACTGTGACTTACTGTGGGGTTCAAACCCAGCTTTTAGGTGTTTTGTTCTGGATCTTCTTGCAGGAGAAAAGCAATCAACAAAAGCAAAGAATCCGTGTTCAGCGAGAATGAGCGAGAATCCATGAAGTACCACCCAAGTGTTCCACTGGAGGACGACCTGATGGAAGACTCCATTCTCCTGCCAATGGATGCCAGCCTGGAGTGCCATAGCCCGCCTCCAGATTATAACTCTGTGATCCAGTACTCAGCTCCTCCAGTGTAGCCAACCAGCCCTGGGGTGACCACTATGTTTTGCATCTCTGACCATGCAGTATTCTAAGCCAGCTTCCTGGTTTTCTTCTTGCTTAACAGAACTGCTGTCCCAAGCGGAGAAGCCAGATCATGGCTAATTTGTCCTTGGAGTCAAACGCACATTGACCTCGCTGTACACAGTGCAAGTGGGAATTCTCTTAAGAGCGGTTCTCTGCAGGCTGCCTCCCCACCTCTCTGGCTTTTGTTTCCCAGCCTTCCCCACTGATTTTTTTTTTTTTTTCATGCAGTCCATCTTTTATTCAGTGGGGTTTGCTCTCTCAAAGCTCTGGGCTGCATACCAATTTTTTTCCTTTTTTTAAATTTTTTGTTGCTTGTAAGCAGTTGCTATGAAAATTCAGTTCTAAACCCCAAGGCTTGTTGTCCAAGAATAATTATCCTCAATATTTTAGGAACAGCGATTAAAACTTAGCCTGAATTCTGAAAATCAGATTTATTGCAGAACCTGAAGGAATCTGCCAGAACACGCAGGCACACCGACACACTCTCAAATTGCAATTTATATTTAGCCACAACCAGCCTGCAAAACGAGGCTGAGAAGGGTTCTGTGTGGATAATTTTGCTCATTGGGCAACACGTGTAAGAGCACTAGCTAAATGCAATAATAATGAAATATATATTGAGAGAGAGAGAGAGTACAGGAAAGAAAAGGCCTCAGGTGTTCTAGTGGGCTAGGAAAGTCAGACCCCATGAAACTGTGAATAGAAAAGCTTCTTAAAGGAGGTGTAAGAATTGCTTGCTCTCCAGACCCTGAAGCTGCTACAGTAGAGCACCCTGCTTAATGCACAGCAAGAGAAACCCTTCTAAAGTCCAGTGAGCTTCAGTTAAGCATGGAGAAGCATGTCTGTTTCCCCATCTCTGTTGTAATAAGCCGTGTAGCTAGAGAAAAAACGGGCTTCCTTTGAAAGCACTTAATTTGCCAATAGTTTAGTCATAGGATCAGTGGAAAAGGACAAACTTTCTGTGTACCAAGCTGACCTGGGTGCAAATGGAGTTGGATGCTGTTCAGGGATGTTGG